CTCCTCCCTGCCCACACCCTGCCAAGGCAGGGGTGATAGACAAGGCCTCCAGCAGGCTCACCTAAGGGCAAGGCCTACGGCATCTGAAAGAGAAGTCAGGGGATCCCCTCTCCTAGGCCACCACAGCCCAGCCCCAACCCCAGAAATCTGCTGCATTCCTGCCCCACACTCAGGTCCAGCCATCAGGGTCTGCTTCCCTCTGGGGTCACAATGCCCCACACCTCACCCCCAGGACAAATGCTCCAGACACCTTCCCCAGCTCACATCCCTGCTGCTCAGTGTCCCCACGCTCTCCCTCTCTGTCACTGCCCCACTCTGGGTCAGCTCTGCCCTCTGGAACCCCACAGAGCAAGGCTAGACCAATAGGTTTCAGACTTGAAGACAAAAATTATATTTCTCTCAAGTTTTCTCCTCTGTCTGACTTTCTCCAGCTCCCTGAAAGCCCTTTCTGTGACCTGGCTTCTGCTTTCCATCCTGGCCATTTATTTGTGAATAGGATTCAATTTGTCCAGGAACCCTTCAAAGGGATCCCACAGTTCAGAGAGAGGAAGGAAAACATGTGACCCAGGCATACAGCTCTATGCTCACCTCCCCAGTCTGGATGTTAAACTGCTACCCAACCAAGAGAGATCATTTACTGCCTCCTTTGGTCTCCGAGATTCCCTTCAGTCCCGATCTTCTCTAGAGTCAGTTATCAGCACCTTTGCCACCACACCCTGGACCATGCCCACGTCAGACATGACCAATCAATCACAGCGCTTTCTCCCTGAGCCCAGACACGATCTCAGAGACCTCAAAAGGACACTCAAATAGCCCCTATCATCAGATGCAGTTGGCACAAGAAGTGAAGCTATTCATCATCCTGGTGACCCAATGACCAGCATGGGGAGTGGCCTCTGCCTGGCTGCAGGTGCTAACCAATCCTTCTCTGCCTCTCAGGTTTGCTACCGGTTTTGCCTACTATAGTTTGGCTATGGGTGTGGAAGAATTTGGAGTCAACCTCTACATCCTCCAGATCATCTTTGGTGGGGTCGATATCCCAGCCAAGTTCATCACCATCCTCTCCTTAAGCTATCTGGGCCGGCATACCACTCAGGCCGCTGCCCTACTCCTGGCAGGAGGGGCCATCTTGGCTCTCACCTTTGTGCCCTTGGGTGAGAGACTGGGGCTACCCCAGAACCCTCTGGAAGAGGCTGCCAGGTTGGGCACCAGGGACTTCACTGCTAGCTCTGCCGCTAAGTCACTGTGTTACCTTGAGCAGGTCACTGCACTCTCTGGGGCTCAGGGTCTCTAATCTAGAAAATAACTCAACTGGGCTAGATGACATCAAAGCTTCTTTCCAGATCTGACCTGGACTGGGCAAAGTACGGTGATATCTGGATAGTGTGAAAATTTTTGAAGTATTGAGAGTGTCCTGAGTGATATCACTGTAGAGGATAAACTGAAATGGTAAAATGACAGAGCTCATGCTCAAGAAAGACCCCACAACCTACTCCATCATGACCCTGGAAAAGCTGTGCTTATTTTATATGGGTGTTAGTTGGTTGATACACCTATATCCTTCCAAAAGAACTTGAGGTATTTTAAGACAAGAACAAGAACATATACAACAAAATATAAATGGAAATAGAGGATCAGAGGCAGGGGAAAACACAAACATAGCAGGATACAAGCATGCAAAGCATTAGGAATACCAGAAAGACTATTACTCAGCTTTAAGTTTGGATCTGAGCTTCCTGGAAGCCAAAGCAAAAAGGGAGACAAGATCAGCTAAGGAGTGAGAACTCATAGGTGCTCCTGAACCCCGAGGCCCACCACATTTTCTTCCCTCTGCAGACTTGCAGACCGTGAGGACAGTATTGGCTGTGTTTGGGAAGGGATGCCTATCCAGCTCCTTCAGCTGCCTCTTCCTCTACACAAGTGAATTATATCCCACAGTCATCAGGTAGGTGCTGGACCTGGGGCCAGGCCCAGCCAGAGGACACAAGTCAGGTGGGACTGTGGCATTTTCCTGTCCTCTGCCCAGGGGAGCCATCCTTTATGAACCCCACACACAGGCTGCCAATCCCTACTCTGAACCCTCGCAGGCAAACAGGTATGGGCGTAAGTAACCTGTGGACCCGTGTGGGAAGCATGTTGTCCCCGCTGGTGAAAATCACGGGTGAGGTACAGCCCTTCATCCCCAATATCATCTACGGGATCACCGCCCTCCTCGGGGGCAGTGCTGCCCTCTTCCTGCCTGAGACCTTGAATCAGCCCTTGCCAGAGACTATCGAAGACCTGGAAAACTGGTCAGTCACTGCCTCTGGCCCCATCAGTGCTCCTCCCTGGGGAAGCAGGTCTGGGCCCAGGGCTTTTCCTGAGCTCTCTGTCCCTAGGTCCCTGCGGGCAAAGGAGCCAAAGCAGGAGCCAGAGGTGGAAAAGGCCTCCCAGAGGATCCCTCTGCAGCCTTACGGACCAGACCTGGGCTCCAGCTGAGGACAACGGAACCCCCTTTCCCTGCCCTCCAGAGACTGATCCTAGCCAGGCACCTTAGGGGTACAGGGAGGCCCCAGATAGGTCCACCCTCCTGGGATGAAGCCTTCTGAGAGCTTGGTGAAGGTGTCTCCATCACCACCACCAGAGCCTCCTGCCCAGCCCTGGACAGTTCAAAGGTTCAGCCATAGACCTTTCCATACCCATCCCTGCCCTTGTTCTCCCTGCAACCCAGGCCCTGCCATTCTTCTGTCCAGCCCTTCCCCACTGGCCACCTTCCTCCACTGTCCTGGTTCTCTTCCCCTGAGGTCCCCTGATGTCCCCCTGGCTCAGTCCTAACAAGACTGAGTCTTAACAAGATAAGAAGTCCTCCCCTTCTTGACTCCCACACTTTTCTTTGATGGGAGGTTTCAATAAACAGCAATAAGAACTCAAGCCATGATGTTCAGGAGTGGGGGTGGGGATGGGAGCTGGCCACTGTGTGGACACGTGAGCATGCACATCTGTCCATCCACACTTTCATATACGACAGGCCTGTGTACAGGGACCACAGGTACATGCAAGCTGGACTGATGTGAACATGAGCAAGCACGTGTGAGTGCTCTGGTGTGTACACCACACCTGTGCATGAAAATACATGTATGTGTCTACATGTCCCAGTATGCATGTGAGCAGATGACTGACCAAGCCCAGAGTGGCTGCAGACAGAAGCCAGAGCCCCACCAATCCTGATTCCCTTCCCCTGATCACCCCAAATCTCTGACCTATATCTCAGCCCCATGCCCAACAGAGAGTTTTTCTCCTGTTAACTGAGAAAACTACAATGGTAGTTGACCGCTGTCAGTGTCTGCTGCCACGTTCCCGGTTCCCTCCAGCCGCAGGAGAACAGCCAGTCCCTCCACATCCAGCCTCTCCCACCGGCAGCCATCCCTTTCCCTCTGGAGTCTCTGCCCATTCCCTCTACCCTGGCTGCTGCCCATCACCAGTTAAACAAGCTTAGGCTTCTCCCAACTTAACAAAAATCAAAGCAAACACATGCCAGGCTGCTGTATCTCCTTCCAGGGGCCACACTGGCCCTTTCTCCCCTTCGAAGCCAGACTTCATAAAGGAACTGTCTGCCTCCCTGTATCCACCTTCTAGCCTCATACATCTCCCCCACTGCACTCCGGCCCCTACCCCTTCTCTCCTCGGAACTGCTTTCACCAAGAACACTCATCACCTCCCTGTGCTGAATCCATAAGTCACTCTTCAGCCCTCCTCTTACTGCCCTTTTGGCAGATTTGGTCCTACTGGTCACTCTCTTCTTCCTTGGTTTCTGAGAGGCCACGTGTTTGCAGCTCCCTCCCACACACTGGCTACTCCTTCTCAGGCCCCTCTGGGGTATCCTGTAAATGCTGCAGTGTTCACTTTGCCTATCCTGCCCCAACCCCTTCTCTAAGGATCTGCATCCCCAGAATCTGCCAACTGAACAGTTCCATGACCCACCATCTCTGGTAGTGACCAACTAGACCAGAGGGCACTCCAGATCCAAATCTCATTGATCACATACTCTTTCCTAGGCTAGGATTTGAGATCTTAGAGGTTCTTATCCATGTCTTTGTCCTTGCCCTGGGAAGGCAAGCTAGCATGAGGCTAGGCTGGCCCAGACGCAGATAGAGCAGACAAGGCCAGTTGCAGCAAGAGAGTAAGGCAGGTGCACAGAGAAAAAGAGAACAAGAGACCACATGGGCCCAGATGAAAAGAGCTGGTGAGGTGACTTCCACTGGTTCTTAACGAATTCCAGGTCTCGGTTCCTCATCAGCCCTGGATGCGCTTTTTACCTTGGGATTCTATGAAATATCCCTGAATTCTCCAAATAAATTCCCCTTTCTGTTTAAGCTAACTTGATGGGCTGCTCCTTGTAACCAAACAGCTCCAAGAGCAGATCCTCTCCCCCTATCATCTCTTCAACAGTGATGTTCCCAAGAATCTTTCCTAGGACCTGTTCCTGTAACATTCTTCCCCAGCACTGTCCAGGGGAAATAGAGGATAAGCCACGTATGTAATTCCAAATCATCTAGTAGCCATTTCTAAAAAGCTAAAAGAAAACAGGTGAGATAAATCTTGAGTATATTATATATATAATATAATAATATTTGTTTGGCCCAATATCTTCAAATATTGCATTTCAGGATTAATCAATATTAACATTATTAATTAGATATTTTATAACCTTAAATTCAAACTAAGTCTTCAAATTCTGGTGTGTATTTTCCACTAGCAGCATATTTCAGTTTGGACTAACTCAATTCATTTTTTTTTTTTTTTTTTTTTTTTGAGACGGAGTCTTGCTCTGTCACCCAGGCTGGATTGCAATGGCCACATCTCGGCTCACTGCAAGCTCCGCCTCCCGGGTTCACGCCATTCTCCTGCCTCAGCCTCCCGAGTAGCTGGGACTACAGGCACCTGCCACCTCGCCCGGCTAGTTTTTTGTATTTTTTTTAGTAGAGATGGGGTTTCACGGTGTTAGCCAGGATGGTCTCGATCTCCTGACCTCGTGATCCGCCCGTCTCGGCCTCCCAAAGTGCTGGGATTACAGGCTTGAGCCACCACACCCGGCCTGGACTAACTCAATTCAAGCACTCAGTAGTGGCTACTGGCTACCACATTGGACAACTCAGACATACTACAGGGCTTTAATTATCAGACACAGAGCTAATTACTCTCAAATCTATATTTAGATATTTGAGAGACAGCTTAATAAATATGAAAGGGGTCATATTGTACCCCTGCTTCAACATTAAAACATTTAGATTTTAATCTAAAGTCTTTCACAAGGCCTGCCATGACCAGGCCCAACCTGCCTCAACAGCTTTGGTTTTTAACACTCTCTACCTTGTACCCAGAAATCCAGCCTCCACTGACTTTTTTCAGATCCTAGACTGCCTCTGCTCTTCACCATGTCCAGCGCTTGGCTTCTCCCCATCCAACTCCACGGCACTTGGCTCACACCAACTCATCCTTAAGGCCTAGCTTGGATGGATTCCTCTGAAAAGCCTTCTGGGACTCCCCGCCCGCCCCAGAGCCTGGGTTGGGTACCTGCTTATCAGACAATGAACTATGATCACAGTCGTGTCTTAGTGGGTGTTTGCCTGGAAGCAGACTCCAAGACAAGAATTTGAGTCCAAGTACCATAGATGATTTGGCAGGAGATCCTAGAAAGCATAAGTAGGGGAAGTCAGGGGTAAGTCAGGGAAGAGAATCAAGAGGCAAGAAGAAAAAGAATGAGAAGGGCAGAAGGGTCTCCCATCCCAGCCCATCTGTCACCCAGCCACGTGGGAAGCTGCTGGGACTGGCCATTTGTGATCATTTTGGATGCAGGACTCCCTCTTGCGCACCTGGGGCTGGCACCTAGGACCAGCCTTGTGCCACACTGCCCCCTGAGATCTGGCCCTTATGCTGAAAGTGCTATGGGGTTGAATGGGGAGAAGCCACCTAGTTTCTATCTTGGAACCTGGTTTCTACCTATAGAGTTTCTACCTTGGAGCCTAGGATCAGCTGACAACAGAGCCAGCAATGCCTCCCCTTCGTTTGACTGGGTCTCAACCTGGAGGGAGAAGGACTAGGCTCAGGGAGGAACACTGACCCTGCCATGCCCCCATCTTTCAGCTGTCCAGAATTCAGAGTGGTTGCCGGGATGTCCCGGCCATGACTATTCCTGTGCTGCTTCGGGGTGCTTATTGCAAGGACATGCATGACGGGAAGGGAAGACACCCAGGAAAATGCTTTCCAGGTACACGGTCAGGACTCATGGTGAACTGGGCTGTTGGTCAGGACAAACCGGCCACTCACAAGACCGGTTCTTCTTGCAATCCCCAAATCCCCATTCTGGATTCTTCCTCCTCTCCATTGCTGCTTATTCCTCTACAGCCCCAGCTCCGCTTGCTTTTTCTACTCCCTCCCTTCTGTCTCTAAGCAGGGACTCCACCTGGCTCGATGCATGGAGATCCAATATGGAGCACCACTTTTGGGCAGAGTCCTCATGCTGTGTCAACTCACAGGTCACTGGCCTCATGTCCAGTCTATAAATGGAAGTCTTTGGAGGAATTTCTAATTTCTGCACCATCCATCAGCCAGGATAATCAGGCCACAAGGCACAAAGCTCACAGTGTATCTCAGAATTCCTTACTCAGAATGTTGCGAGGGGCCTGGCACACACTTGGAATCTGCTGGACTCCTCCCCAAGTCAATCATTTCAAACCCATGGTTAGGGCACGTGATCTAAGCAAGACTGTTTTATATGATCTGTAAATTATTTATTTGAAACGTCTCACAAAAGAATAAAAACCAAAATCACAGGTAGTCCCACACTTTAAATCCCATTTATATAATGGAATAAAGCTATACAAAATCAGGACTTCTCCCAGAAAATCTGGGATATGTGATGGCTGCTGGCATGGTAGGAAGAACAATGGAGTCCAAAGAGTTGAGTTCCAGACTTGCTTGCTGTGTGATCATGGACAAATCCTTTGCCTGCTCTGGGCCTTGGTCTCCTTATGTGTACAATGAGACGTTTTTACCTGAGTGATGGTGTTAAACTTAGATGGCATGTGGTTCTATGGCTCTGGGCCAATCACAGATTCCCAGATTTGACCCTTTCTCAGTAAGTATGACCAGAATTTAAGTCTACATTCCAGTCAGCACAAGGAAGTGCAATTGTGAGGTTTCAGTGGCCCAGAAGTTTCCCCTAAGGGACAGTTCCTGGCTCTGGAAATCACTTGCCATGCGAGTATGCCCATCCAGAAACTCTCCATGAGCCAGGAGGCTGCTGGGAAACCCTTGCCACTCAGATGATCCCAGGACCCAAACACAATTCAGGGCCCAGAGTCTCCAATGGAGGTTTTTCCAGACTCAGCCAGGCTCGGAGCTCCTCAGGCAGTCAGGAGGGAGCTCTTCTCCAAGGCGGGGTTGGCACAGGCTTAGAGAGGGAGGGTGCTTGTAGGGGCCCACCATCCCCTGCTGCCCTCAACACTCCACCCACTCCCCCATGAGGGCACCAGGTCCTAGCAGGAGACTGGCCCCACAGTCCCCAAGCTGTTTGTCCAGCTGTCCTCGCAATCCCAGACCACAGGACTCTTATGTATCTTGGCCTGGAGAATGTTGTCAGGCATCTGGATACCCACTGGGTCCCAGCCCAGAACCAACACCAGGTGGGAGGGGGAAGGCTGGGTTGAGTTGCATCCCTTTCTGGGCCTCCCCTTTTCTCTTTTGTACAAATGAGCCCAGATAATTTCCAAAACCCTTTGGGCTGGGCAGTCTACACCTCAACAGCAGCAGTTAAGAACTCAGCTTTGGCCGGGTGCGGTGGCTCAAGCCTGTAATCCCAGCACTTTGGGAGGCCGAGACGGGCAGATCACGAGGTCAGGAGATCGAGACCATCCTGGCTAACACGGTGAAAGCCCGTCTCTACTAAAAAATACAAAAAACTAGCCGGGCGCGGTGGCGGGCGCCTGTAGTCCCAACTACTCGGGAGGCTGAGGCAGGAGAATGGCGTGAACCCGGGAGGCGGAGCTTGCAGTGAGCTGAGATCCGGCCACTGCACTCCAGCCTGGGCAGCAGAGCGAGACTCCGTCTCAAAAAAAAAAGAACTCAGCTTTGAAGTTAGACAGAATAGGTCTGAACCAATCAAAGACTTCATGGATCTCAGGGTCCTGATGAATGATAAATACCCTCCCAGCTTCATGCACAAGACTGAAGTTTGCATAAACTACACAACATGAACAGGGCATCTCGACTTCTAACGAGAGAAGTTGGACATCAAACTACATCCCTTCAACAGCAAGACGGAGAGAAACATCCTTTCTTCTCATGACCCTTGGCATTGGCTCATTTGTATAGGACCTAGAGTGCTTTCTGTAAAACGATGGAACCCTAATCATCCATCATGTTTAGACACATGCCAAGAGAATGACAAAGCTAGGTGGAGGGGCAGTCAGCAGGAGCCAGGTTACCTAGAGGGACAGTTAGAGACTCAGAATGGAAACACACCATAAAGGGCAAGGAAGAGTCCAGCATGGTAAGCCAAGCTCAACAGTCAAGCTAGGACATAGTGGAGAAGGGTGTTAGAGCAGACACAGGAAGATCCGTTTCCTGATTCAGCCACCCCAGTGGTGGAAGTGGCTGGGTGGGCCCAGGCTGGGGAAGAGCTGCAGGCCTTTGGAGGCCAGGTTATCCAGCTGTCCTCCAGCAGAACAAGGAGGAGGAGGATTTCTCTTCCTTGCCTTCCAAAACATTTTCTTCACAAAATGAGATCCTGGGGGTTCCTGGAAATATTTTGATGGGAGTCATCTTTCCTTGACCAAGCAGGTATAAGATTGATTACTAAACACACAAACTCTGCAACATCTTTTTTTTTTTTTTTTTTTTTTCCTTTTTTAATGAAGTCTCACTCTGTCGCCCAGACTGGAGTGCAGTGGCATGATCTCAGCTCACTGCAACCTCCACCTCCCAGGTTCAAGCAATTCTTCTGCCTCAGCCTTTTGGAGTAGCTGGGATTACAGGTGCGCACCACCTAATTTTTGTATTTTTAGTAGAGATGGGGTTTCACCATGTTAGCCAGGATGGTCTCAAACTCCTGAGCTTGTGATCTGCCTGCCTCAGCCTCCCAAAGTGCTAGGATTATAAGCATGAGCCACTGTGCCCGGCCTGCAACATCTTTTAAGGTAGCGTTTCTCAATCTCAGCACCACTGACATTTGGGGGTCTAGATATTTCTTTGTTGTGGGGGCCTGTCCTGTGCATTGCAGGATATTCAGCGGCATCCCTAACCTCTACCCGCTAAAAGCCAGTAGCACCACCACCATCCTGAGTCGTGACAACCAAAAATATCTCCAGACATTGCCAAGTGTCCCCTGGGGGGCAAAATCACCCCCAGTCAAAAATCACTCTTCTTCGGATAAGTTGTACTTAGACACATTTTCCTTCTAAAATCAATGTGATAGTCTCACCTTTTCACCAGAAACAAATAAGAAGAGTCAGTAACCACTGAATTACAGGGCATCTGAGCTACTTTAAGCTTCTTATCTATATTAGTTCATTTAATGCTCCAAAAACTCAAGGCAGCAAACGTAGCTATTATCCCCATCTTGCAAATGAGGACACTGAGGTACAGAGGAGTTTAGTCACTTGCCCCTGGTTCCACAGCCAATAAGTGTGGAGTGAGGGTGTGGGTCCAAGTAGACTGACTCCAGAGTCTATGTTTTATATAATATGAATTGCACAAGTTAATAACAAGAAGCTGCCACCTACTGTCTCTCAGTGTCCCCAATCTGGGATCCAACCAACTGGATCCCATGGAAGCCCATCCAATCAGAGCTCCACACTTCCCTGATCACATGTGACTCAGGAGCCAAAACTCTGTTGGAGGAATTCATGTCATTGAATTCATGTCATCTTAGAGTTGTGGCTAAAAATACAGTAAGTTCATGCTCATTGTTTTAAAAAATAACACTATGGCTGGGCGCAGTGGGTTACTCCTGTAATCCCAGCAATTTGGAAGGCTGAGGCAGGTGGATTGCTTGAGCCCAGGAGTTCAAGACCAGCCTGGGCAACATGGCAAAACCACATCTCTTAAAAATAAATAAATAAATACATGTGTACTGGTGCGCACATGTAGTTCTAGCTACTCAGGAAGCTGAACTGGGAAGATCACCTGAGACCAGGGAAGTCAAGGCTGCAGTGTGCCAAGACTGTGCCACTGCACTCCAGCCTGGATGACAGAGTGAGACCCTATCTCAAAAATAAAGCAAAGAGGCCAGTCGTGGTGGCTCACGCCTGTAATCTCAGCATTTTGGGAGGCCGAGGGGGGCAGATCATCTGAAGTCAGGAGTTCGAGACCAGCCTGGCCAACATGGCGAAACCCCATCTCTACTAAAAATAACAAAAATTAGCCACGCGTGGTAGCACATGCCTGTAATCCCAGCTACTCAGGAGGCTGAGGCACAAGAATCGCTTGAACCTGGGAGGTGGAGGTTGCAGTGAACTGAGATTGCACCATTGCACTCCAGCCTGGGCAACAGAGTAAGACTGTGTCAGAAAAGAAAAGAAAAGGAGAAAAGGAGGTGAGGGGAGGGGAGATTGCACCATTGCACTCCAGCCTGGGCAACAGAGTGAGACTGTGTCAGAAAAGAAAAGAAAAAAAGAAAAGAGAAATAAAAAGAAAAGGAAAGAGACACTTTGGACAGAAGACAGTATGACTAGGGGAAAATCCAACCCTTGGAAGGGCCAGAAGAGCCACTGCAGAACCACCCCACGTTGTGTATGACATTGGTCTTAGTTCGCACTCCAAGAGCAGCCTCTGACCTCTGTTGTTTCTTCCAAATGAACAAGCCCGTGGTTCTATAAGATGCGAGCTGTCCCCAGAAGAACAACGACTGGGGCTGTCACATTTAGCAAATAAGGATACAGGGTGCCCAGTCAAATTTGCATTTCAAATCAATGAAGAATTTTTTAGTATAAGTATGTCCCATGCAATATTAGAGACATACTCATACTTTTAAAAATTCTTCATTGACCTAAAATGCAAATTTGATTGGGCACCCTGTAATTTCCCTGGCAACCCTTCCCAAAGGCAGACTATTTGGATCTCATCCACTAAAAAGGGCAGAAACTCCTCAAGAGGCCACCACACTTCCCAGAGCCCAGTCTCATTCTTAAAAGGAAGACAAATAGATCCAATAGATCCTACTCTGGCTCCTCCTACCCCCAGACGCCCAGATGCCCCCCCAATACACCCCTCTCCCCACTCCTGCTTCAGTCCACCCTCTCCTGCCCTTTATAACCACTTGGAGAAATTCCACTGACACAAGGAATCCTTGGAGGGTTAATCCTTCTGATACCAAGTCACACTTTAACTCATTCCCTCCAGGTCAAGGATTAAAAACTGCCCATGCAAGGGTCAGGCCTCCAGCCGACCCTGAAAGCCGAGCTGCCCTGACCCCCGAAGTGAGGAGAAGCTGCAAGGGGAAAAGGGAGGGACAGATCAGGGAGACCGGGGAAGAAGGAGGAGCAGCCAAGGAGGCTGCTGTCCCCCCACAGAGCAGCTCGGACTCAGCTCCCGGAGCAACCCAGCTGCGGAGGCAACGGCAGTGCTGCTCCTCCAGCAGAGGACGGCAGGCAGGCAGAGAGGCAGAGGTCCTGGGATTGGGAGGCCTCAGCCCCCAGCCGCTGGGCTGGGCCTGGCCCAATGGCCTTTAATGACCTCCTGCAGCAGGTGGGGGGTGTCGGCCGCTTCCAGCAGATCCAGGTCACCCTGGTGGTCCTCCCCCTGCTCCTGATGGCTTCTCACAACACTGTGCAGAACTTCACTGCTGCCATCCCCACCCACCACTGCCGCCCACCTGCCAACGCCAACCTCAGCAAGGATGGGGGGCTGGAGGCCTGGCTGCCCCGGGACAGGCAGGGGCAGCCTGAGTCCTGCCTCCGCTTCACCTCCCCTCAGTGGGGACCGCCCTTTCCCAATGGCACAGAAGCCAATGGCACGGGGGCCACAGAGCCCTGCACCGATGGCTGGATCTATGACAACAGCACCTTCCCATCTACCATCGTGACTGAGGTGAGGACCTGGGGCTCCCCATCCAGGGGCCAAGATGGGAAGATGGGGGCCTTTGTTTAAAAAAAAATGTACATGGAGAAGTTAACTGCTGAGTTTTTTAATTGCTGAGTTAAAAAGAAAAACGCTCTCAGCTGTCAGGACTAGAGAAGCAAAGGGCAAAGTGCCAGAGGAAGAGGGTGACATGGACCCCAGAGGACCAGCTGAAGGAGGGGAAGGGGATTCTCTGAAGCCAGGCTCATCTCTGCCTGACCCTTGCTCCTCTCCCCACAGTGGGACCTCGTGTGCTCTCACAGGGCCTTACGCCAGCTGGCCCAGTCCTTATACATGGTGGGGGTGCTGCTCGGAGCCATGGTGTTCGGCTACCTTGCAGACAGGTCAGTCCTGGGTAGGGTCAAGGGGCTGGGCTGGGATTAGGGGCTCAGCTGGGCTCAGGGGGTCTAGGTGGGAGCTTGGCATTGCCAGCCGGGGCTGGTTTGAGAATCTACAGCGCCAGTCTCATAATACCACAGAGGTCCTCAAAATACCCCAGCCTAGGCATGATCCAGTGCGAGCCCTCCTCTCCTGGCTCAGCCTGGCCCCCATCAGTCTCCAGGGCCGTGTTACAGGTCTCCCCTCCTCCCACAGGCTAGGCCGCCGGAAGGTACTGATCTTGAACTACCTGCAGACAGCTGTGTCAGGGACCTGCGCAGCCTTCGCACCCAACTTCCCCATCTACTGCGCCTTCCGGCTCCTCTCGGGCATGTCTCTGGCTGGCATCGCCCTCAACTGCATGACACTGAGTGAGAGACGCTTACCAGCCCACTCCCCTCTGGCCACCCAGCCCAGCGACCCCTTTCCAGCCTCCCCTCCCAGCCTGCCCCTCCTGAGCCCTGCCTGCCCTCCAGCCTCTCTCTTGGGTCTCACCTTCCTGCCAATACAACAAGCTTTTTCTCAGGCTCATGCCACCCTGACCCCTCATTTAAAAACAGGATTGCGAACTCCATTGTTAGAGCCAGCAGGTCATGCAAGAGGCCAAGCAGGCCAGGTGCAGGAGGCATTAGGGAATGGCGAGAACTGTATTCAAAGGCGAGACACATTCATCCAGAGACACCCCAGGCACACAGCTGCTCCAGGCAGGAGATCCTAGGGCTGTCATAGCTTCCCCCTCCTCTTTGATTAATGTAAAATGTCCCAGTGTTTTCAATGTTTGCAATTAACTCTAATAATAAACATAGGGTGAGGCAGCATCGTGCAGACAAGACACATTCGTGGACTGAGTGTGGTCTCTCCATGGGCCATGGATGTGCATCCTCTGATAGATAACCCCCCCTTACCCCATGTTTCTCAAATGAGGAATCTGAGGCTGAGAAGAAGGGAAAGGATTTACCCAAGGTCATTCCTCAACCATAGAAGGAAATCCAAGGATTTGGGATTCTCTGGACTAGACGAATTAACCGGGACTGGGCTAGAACCTGGGCAAGACACCTAAGAAATCCAGCCCCCAAGTCCAGCCTAAGTATCCAAGTCCCTGTCCCAGCAGCCCAATGGGGAGCCCACCTGGACAGGAGGTAGGCCTCTCCAGACCACACCAGACAGGTGGTCCCACTCCTACCTCAAGACTCCGGGATGCAGAAGAGCCACTGCCTCCTCCAAGCTGCTCTGGCCAGTGAGAGTGGAATCCAGTCCACAGCTGAGGAAGGCCAGAAGAATGGTTGCTGTTGAAGACAGACCAAGTGGCCAGAGGTGCTCTCAACGGAGAATGAACTCCAGTCAGGAGAATGGGTTGAGGAGGAGCAGAAAAAACAAAAAAATCAAGAATGTGGAGCGGGCAGTTCCCAGATATTCTGAACCCAATTCCCCATCCATACCTCCACTGAAATTGCCCCGCTCTCATCACCCCGGCACTCAACTTACTCGATGCATTTTCCACTGAGCCTTGGGACAGGCCAAGGTTTGGATGGAGGGAGGGTCTTTACTAGCCCAGCAGCCCAGGTAGTTGCAGCATCCTGTCTTAACCCTCTTTCCAGATGTGGAGTGGATGCCCATCCACACGCGGGCCTGCGTGGGCACCTTGATTGGCTATGTCTACAGCCTGGGCCAGTTCCTCCTGGCCGGTGTGGCCTATGCTGTGCCCCACTGGCGCCACCTGCAGCTGCTGATCTCTGTGCCTTTTTTTGCCTTCTTCATCTACTCCTGGTGCGTGGGGCCTAGGGTAGGACATGGTTGCCACAGGAGCCCAGAGGGCTGCAAGGGACAGGACATCTCCCAGAGCTCAGCACACATCCCATCCCACAAATGGAGAGAAGGTCAAACCCAGTACAATGCCTCTGTGTGGCAGACAGGGAAACCAAGGCTGCGGGGAGAAGGCTTTGCCCCAGGATATCCAATTCTCTGGCTTCCCCTACTCAGTCAGCCTGCCTGCTCTGCTCCCCCTACCAGCAACCAAGAGCTGAGCTTCTGGATTGGGGAATATGTCATTACCAAGCTGGGCACTGCCTCGTGGTCCTAGAGAGAGGGATTTGGCAAGGCCCCTGGGTTCCCAACCTTAAATAAAATCCCATCGCAGGCCCCTGGAAAGCCCAGCCCCAGCCCCCCACCCAGCTGACTGGAACTGAAGCCATGCTGACACCCACCCCCACCCCTGCTCCCAGGTTCTTCATCGAGTCGGCCCGCTGGCACTCCTCCTCCGGGAGGCTGGACCTCACCCTGAGGGCCCTGCAGAGAGTCGCCCGGATCAATGGGAAGCGGGAAGAAGGAGCCAAGTTGAGTATGGAGGTGAGATCCCCTGAGACTTCCCATGATAACCTCCCAGTGCTTCATCCTCAAACCCCAAACCCAGGGCCCAGGGAACTCCTCTGAGTAAGCGATTAGGGAGGAGCTCCTTGGGAAGATCCCGGGCCCTGAGCTCTGCCGGTCCCAGCAGGTACTCCGGGCCAGTCTGCAGAAGGAGCTGACCATGGGCAAAGGCCAGGCATCGGCCATGGAGCTGCTGCGTTGCCCCACCCTCCGCCACCTCTTCCTCTGCCTCTCCATGCTGTGGTAGGCCCAGAAAGATGGACAGACTGAGACAAAAGGCTGGCTGGGGCGGGAGGAGACACAATGGGTGGAAGAGGCCAGACAAGAGGGCAGGAAGGTCAGCAGACCTGCTGTGAGAAGCAGTAACCCCATACTAGGGATCACCCTTAGGAACCAAATGCCCCCCAGCCTCGACTCAGTCCCAGTCTCCACACAGGACACCAGTCTCCCCATCTTGTCCTTTCACTAGCCCTGTTCCAATATGGAGACACCTCATCAGGACCAATGGGCTCCAGAGTCAATAGACTTACATCATGAAGGCAGAGACCAGTCTGGCTTGCAAAATATTCATAGATTTTACTGGCTTGATGGTGCCTGCCAGAAACACAGGCACAGGCAACAAGATGACTAAAATTCATCTCCAAAGAACACTTTGGCCAAGGCCAAAGAAAATCTTCCTTTCCCTTTGCAACACTCCCCATTATCCTTCCTTCCCATCACCATAGCAATCCCATGACAGTTAAGGGAAACATGATCAGAAGGAACAATCCTGCCAATGAATTATTTGCTTCCAATTTGGGATTTATTCTCAGTCATGGGCTCTAGCCAATAATCTTGAGCTTTTTTTTTTGGGCTCTTGACATCTTAAAAAGCACAACACTCATCCCAGGACCATGGACAGGTCCCAGAAGGCTCTGTACTCTCCCAGCTGCCTTGGCCCTGAAGATGGCTTGGATATCCACCTGCCCTCCCTCAGCCCAGCATCAACTGCAAAGATGAGAACTAGACCTATGTAAATCCTACACAGCAACTAAGTGAAAATTCCCCCAATTAACTGGGACCCTAGTTATCAGAAGATTGAGAAATCTGGAGTATTAGAGGACAACCTCAATACTTAAACCCTGCAGTTTGATTATATGGTTAAACGAAGAAATATTAGCCAAGACAGATTCCAGCTCCTTAAGCAGGGTACCCAATGCAACTCCCCCGCTTTTGAAAAAGGACCCCACTTTAAGCCTCCCTAACAAACTCCATATCCCTCTCTTCTCTCTGCTAGGTTTGCCACTAGCTTTGCATACTATGGGCTGGTCATGGACCTGCAGGGCTTTGGAGTCAGCATCTACCTAATCCAGGTGATCTTTGGTGCTGTGGACCTACCTGCCAAGCTTGTGGGCTTCCTTGTCATCAACTCCCTGGGTCGCCGGCCTGCCCAGATGGCCGCACTGCTGCTGGCAGGCATCTGCATCCTGCTCAATGGGGTGGTACCCCAGGGTGAGCACCCAAGAGCACCTTGGCCCCTTCTCCTCAGTCCCATCCCCACATATAACCCAACCTCTCAGAAGGGAGGGGGCCAATTCCTCCTAGCCTCCACTCCCAAGCTCCAGCTATCCCTCCTTCTTTCTCTCTAGACCAGTCCGTTATCCGAACCTCTCTTGCTGTGCTGGGGAAGGGTTGTCTGGCTGCCTCCTTCAACTGCATCTTCCTGTACACTGGGGAACTGTATCCCACAATGATCCGGTGAGTGGGAGGCTAACAGGAGAATGACAGCCTTTTCTTGGAGAGGCTGTTCTCCAAGAGGAGAAAGATTTCTCCTGTGCACAGGTCGGACCCCAGAGCTAAATCAAGTACATCCCAGCCCAAAGGCCCCTCCCAACACTCACCATTGCAAGGCACATCGTAGCCACTCAGTACACACCTCATGGCCTAGCTAACACAGGTGTTACTGTCCTCTAAGCCCTTACTAGACCCTAGAAGAAGATCTCAAAAGGAACCACCAACTGGGGCAGGGTAAGGAACCAAGAAGGCACATTTCAGAGGCAACAAATTGAAGTCCTCCCTTAATCTCCAAAACACAAATTAGAAGCTGCCACCAAACCTACATTCCATCTATAAACCAAGTGATACATCTGAAAGCAAAGACCACAAACGTGAAAGCAATTTCCTATCTCAGGATTCACTCCTGATAATATCCCAGCAGTAGGAATAAATATAGTATTGCTCATTTGAGTCCTAAGATGGGGGGCAGTATTTTTGCATTAAGAAACAAGAATGGGGGCCGGGCACGGTGGCTCATGCCTATAATCCCAACACTTTGGGAGGCCGAGGCAGGCAGATCACGAGGTCAAGAGATCGAGACCATCCTGGCCAACCAACATGGTGAAACTCCATCTCTACTAAAAATACAAAAATTAGCTGGGCGTAGTGGTGCACACTTGTAGTCCCAGCTACTTGGGAGGCTGAGGCAGGAGAATCGCTTCATCCCAGGAGGTGGAGGTTGCGGTAAGCTGAGATTGTGCCACTGCACTCCAGCCCCAGCAACAGAGCGAGACTCCATTTCAAAAAAGAAAAGAAACAAGAATGGGATGCAAAATTTACATGAGACGTCAAAGAAATGTCAGGCTTCCCTGGGCTACTTGGAGTGGGCCTGTAAAGTCTGCAGAGTGGAACCCTGAGGGTCATGGTCCTGTGCCCTTATCCGATTTCAGATGAAAGAGCAATAATCCGAAGCACTCACTATGTACCAGGCAGTGTCTTAAACTTTTCACAAACATTAATTCATTTAATCTGCATAACAAGCCATTGTGGTAGGCACTATCATTATTCCCATTTACAAACATGAAAGCTGAGGCAAAGAGAGGTTAAGTGACTTCTCCAAGATCACACAGCTAACAGATGGTGAAGCATGCATTTGAACCCCAAGCAGTATGTCTCCTGAGTCAATGTTTTTAACCTCTTCTGTCATGAATAATGTTCTTAACATGCAGATTCCAGCTCCCTCCCACTAGGGATTCTAATCCAATAGGTGTATGTTGGCTGGTTGCAACTATAACACAATTCCTCCAGGTGATCTGAGAACCATAGTGTAACACAACTGAATCATTTGACAGCAGAAACTGAAGCCCAGGGAGGGAAAGGGGCTTGCCCAAAGTCACACAGCAAGTTAAGGGCAGAGGCAAAATTCAATCTTAAGTCTCCTTATTCTTTGGCCAGAACCCTTTCCAATTTCTCTTTTGAAAAAGATCACCAACAGCTGTGGTGGGGGAGGACCATTTGAGCCCACGAGTTTAAGACCAGCCCTGGCAATGTAGAGACCCTATCTCTACAAAAAAAAAAAAAAAAATCGCCAAATTGGTTTGCTAATTAAATGGGGAACAGAGGAGGTACTGGGAGTATCCTGGGGGCTGAGCCTGAGCTGCCACCCTCCAGATGGGACCAGAGCCTGGGCATTCATGCCAGAACTCTAACCAACACCCATCCGCTGCGGGCCCTGCAGGCAGACAGGCTTGGGAATGGGTAGCACCATGGCCCGAGTGGGCAGCATCGTGAGCCCACTGGTGAGCATGACCACCGAGCTCTACCCCTCCGTGCCTCTCTTCATCTACGGTGCTGTTCCCGTGGCCGCCAGCGCTGTCACTGTCCTCCTGCCAGAGACCCTGGGCCAGCCACTGCCAGACACGGTGCAGGACCTGGAGAGCAGGTGGGCCCCCACCCAGAAAGGAGCAGGGATCTATCCCAGGTCGCACATGCAGGGCGAGGTGGCATGGAGACTCAAGTCCAGGCATCCTCTTCTAGCCCGAAGCTCTGTGTCCCTTTGTCCCCAATTGCCTGAGCTTCTCCTAGAATCCTTCCTGGGGATCCCAGCTCCGGGGAGCAGTAGGCATTGGGGGCAGAGAGCAGGTGGCCAGGCACAGCTGAGTGGAGACCCCACAGGAGCCCCCATCTCCTGGCCCTGGCCTGGAGGCTACGTACCCAGAGTGCCATTCTTCTGCCCCCTGCAGGAAAGGGAAACAGACGCCACAGCAACAAGAGCACCAGAAGTATATGGTCCCGCTGCAGGCCTCAGCACAAGAGAAGAATGGACTCTGAGGACTGAGAAGGGGCCTTACAGAACCCTAAAGGGAGGGAAGGTCCTACAGGTCTCGGGCCACCCACACAAGGAGGAGGAAGAGGAAATGGTGACCCAAGTCTGGGGGCTGTGGTTCAGGAAAGCACCTTCCCAGGGGTCCACCTCCCTTTATAATCCCCACCAAAACCACATCATTAAAAGGTTTGACTGCACATCATCTCTCCTTGTCTCTCTTGTCTCAAATGGAATGGCCACTCCATTTTCGTCAGCTTCCAGCCCCGGAGGCCACACAGTCCCCTCCCACCCACTCCATCCCCAGGATTTTCCAAACCATCCTAGACAATTAGAAAAGACTCTTGCCTTTGTGCCTCTGTATCTCTCCTTTCCTCCCTCTTCCCTCCCCCATCCTCTAACCTATTCAAATATTCCTGTGAGGTTTAGCTAAATATCTAATGCTCCTCCCCTCCCTGTCAGGCTAGAAATTGACAAGAGCTGAAATGACTGGCTGAAATGAAAGCAGCCAATCAGAGGCTTTGTTTCAAGCTCCTCCCCCTCTGTGACAGCAGGTGGGAACCTCTGACAGCAAAGCAGAAGAAAAAGGACAACAGCTGGCCAGGTGTGGTGGCTCACACCTGTAATCCTAGCATGTTGGGAGGCCGAGGTGGGTGGATCACTTGAGCCCAGGAGTTCAAGACCAGCCTGGACAACATAGCGAGACCCTGCCTCTATTAAAAAAAAAAAAAAAAGAAAGACAACAGCTGTGACTTCAGGAAGTTGGCCCCTCTAGCAGCATGGTCAGGATGATGGAATCTTTAGATTCCAACAGGGTCTGGACTCAAAGCCCACTCTAGATTAGCCTGCTAGCTAACCTAATCCTGCCTGCTGCACAACCTGAGCTCTCTTGGTTGCTCTGCCTCCTGTGGGCTCTGGGCTGGTGGAGGGAAGAGAAGAGGGAAGGGGTTGTGGGGAACGCTAACTATGTGCCAGGCACTGTCCTAAACCATTTGCCTATATTAACTCATTTACTCCTCCCAGCAACCCTTGGAGATTACTACAATTATTCCCTATTTTACAGACAAGAAAATCAAGACACAGAGAGGTTAAGTAACCTGTCCAGTTCATACAGCTGGTACATTGTGGAGTCAGGATTAGAATCCAGACAATCTGGCACCAGGATGTGTGCGCCTGACCCCTCTGCTGCCAGGAGCTGTGAGGCACTGAAACTTTAGCCTCTTTCACCCCCAGGACCCTTCTCCTCCTTCCTTCTTGGCTGAAAAGGACGAATAGGGGAAGAAGGGAGATGATCATGGGAGGAACCATGTGAAATGAGTTAGGGTAAGGCAATTTAAGGGTTACAGTCAGGAAAAGACCAGGATGTCCAGCATCTGTGTCCTCAAAGGAGCTCACTTCAGGGAAGCCTGGAGCAGCCCAAGAAAGGCAGCCTTATGCGCACCTACAGGCGGCAGGAGTGAGGCCTGCCACGCCCTGCCATAAATGCCCACTGGCACTCTGCCTGGAACCCTATCCCCAGTAGCCAGTTTATCCCCGGGGGAAAGTCCGCATTCCTTGAGCTGTACACACTGCCTTGCAGGTAGGACCCCGGGGGCTCGGGTTGAGTTAGGGCAACCTGGAAAGAGGGGTTGGCCTGAAGATCCCCTGAAAAAAAACCACACAGCCCAGGGGGAGCTCATAGCAATTCAGACAACAGGACTCTCAGGGCAAATCTGGGCACAGCAGAAATCACCACAACCCACCTCACCTCCTGGAACATCTGGAGCCTTGGTGTTCCCCCTTGGTGCTGAAACTCCTCATGCTCCCATTGGTTGCTTGAGGGTCACCAGCCCCACTCATCCTGCAGTTTCTCAGGCAGCACTGCCCTCATGACTGACCCTCATGGGGCATCTGGACTGAGACTGGGAGACGAGACACGTGGATATAGCCCTGCTTCTGCAGATCCGGGGTTTTGAGACCAGTGACTTGGCCTACTACTGGCTCCAGACCCTGCCAGCAACTCTGACATGCCCTGGTTCCTCCTGCAAGTCTCTCATCTCTGCTCATATCACCTGGTATCTGCAGATGCCTCAGCAAGGCTGCCCAGAGCCAGCCGTAGCCTGCCTCAGCTGCACCCCAACTGGTACAAGTCCTGGGTGCTGATTCAGCCAGCTCAGACCATGCACACAGAATCCATTCTCCCAGCTCCTGGCCGGGGACTTCCTATACTCATCCTGTGTGCTTGACAAAAGAGAACCCTAAACCATAAACCTTCCTCCCACTTCTAAGTCACCAGTAAGTGGCCGGGCGCGGTGGCTCAAGCCTGTAATCCCAGCACTTTGGGAGGCCGAGACGGGCGGATCACGAGGTCAGGAGATCGAGACCATCCTGGCTAACACAGTGAAACCCCGTCTCTACTAAAAAATACAAAAAATTAGCCGGGCGAGGTGGCGGGCGCCTGTAGTCCCAGCTACTCGGGAGGCTGAGGCAGGAGAATGGCGTGAACCCGGGAGACGGAGCTTGCAGTGAGCCGAGATCCGGCCACTGCACTCCAGCCTGGGCGACAGAGCGAGACTCCGTCTCCAGAAAAAAAAAAAAAAAAGTCACCAGTAAGTGACTTCTGACTTTGCCTCCCCAAGGAGTCAGCCCCAAACACAGGCTCAGATCCTATCCTCTAGCCTTGGCCCTGAAGCTGAGTTAGGACACTGTCATGCCCCACCATAGTGACCTCAGATGCTCTCCCCATTTTTTTCTTTTTTTTCCTGAGACAATGTCTTTCTCTGTTGCCCAGGCTGGAGTGCAGTGACATGATCTCAGCTCACTGCAACCTCCGCCTCCTGGTTTCAAGCGATTCTCACTGCAATGTCAGCCTCCCAAGTAACTCAGATTACAGGCACACACCACCACACCTGCCTAATTTTTCTATTTTTAGTAGAGACAGGGTTTCACCATGTTAGCCAGGCTGGTCTTGAACTCCTGACCTCAAGTGATCCGTTTCGCCTCAGCCTCCCAAAGTGCTGAGATTACAGGTATGAGCCACCGCGCCTGGCCTATCTCCAGTTTTGACCATAGGTCCTATCCTCAGTCAGCCTGGCAGGGCCTTGTAGCCACCCTCAGTTTCCTGGCCAGGATGGCACACTCAGGAGGATCCTCAACTGCCTGGTCCTGTAGAGTGCTCACCAGAAGCCACATTCTCAGGGTTCCATGCTATCATCCCAGGTCCCACCTTGACAGCCCCAGTTTCACACCACTCCAAGCCCCTCCCTTAGGCTCTTCTCTCCCCTTTCCCAGGAGTTTGCATGACCCATTTGGGTCATGTATAGAGCAGATGCCCAAATAGCTAAATTTCATATCATGTGGGAGGCTGAATAATGACCCCCAATATGCCCACATCCTAATCTCTGGAACCTGTGAGTATGTTACCTTACATGGTAAAAGGGGTTTTGCAGTTCTGATTAAATTAAGGATTTTGAGATCGGGGGTATGTTATCCTGGATTATCTGGGTGGACCCGACGTGGTCACAACAGTACTTATAAGAGAAAGGCAGGCGATCAGAGTGGGTAGTAGTTGAGACAACAGAAGCAAGAGTGTGCAGTGAAGCAAGAAGGGACCAAAAAGAATTTTCAAAAAATACATTCAAGTCAAAACAGAGACCATAAACCTCAATTCATTCAATAACTTATCATTCAAACCACTAAGTAAACGCATATGGTGATGTAAAAAAAAAAAAAAAAAAAGAAGGAACCACCAGCCAAAGAATGCAAATGGCCTCTAAAAGGCAAGGAAATGGATTCTCCCCTAAAGCCTGCAGCAGAAACGCAGCTGGGTTGACATATTGATTTTCTTTTCTTTTTTTTTTTTTTTTTTGAGGCAGAGTCTTGCTGTGTCACCCAGGCTGGAGTGCACGGGCATGATCTCAGCTCACTGCAACTTCCACCTCCTGGGTTCAAGCGACTCTCCTGCCTCAGCCTCCCGAGTAGCTGGGATTGCAGGCATGTATCACCACGCCCAGCTACTTTTTGTATTTTTTGTAGAGATGGGGTTTCGCCATGTTGGCCAGGCTGCCTCCCGAGTTCAAGTGATTCTCCCACCTCAGCCTCCCAAATAGCTGGGACTACAAGAGTACACCATCACGCCCCGCTAATTTTTGCATTTTTAGTAGGGACAGGGTTTCACCATGTTGGCCAGGCTGGTCTCAAACTCCTGACCTCAGGTGATCCGCCTGCCTTGCCCTCCCAAAGTGCGAGAATTACAGGCGTAAGCTACTACGCCCCGCCGACATATTGATTTTAGACATCTGGCCTCCAGAATTATAAGAGAACAAATCTATACTGTTTTAAGCCACTAAATTTGTGGCAGTTTGTTAACAACAGCAATACGAAACTGATATGCATCCCTTGTTCCTAGATTCCTCCAGGGAGGCCCCTAGAGAGTTTCTTTTTCCCATGCACCACAATTTTTGTAGGGATGGGATGTAATGTCTGGATCATCATAGGCCTCACCTCTCCCTATTGTCTTATAGCTTGTCAGATTCACAGAGTTTAAATTAGTCACTAGCCCTTGTAGACACTTAAGTTTGGGACTCCTAGACTTCCCTGTGCTACCCTCCCACCACTACCATTCCTTATGTTTAAAAACTGTGGAAGGAAAATTGTGTCATAGGTGCAGGAAACACAATGAAAACACTGACCGGGTAGACTCCACTGCCCCACTGCACCTCCTCTTTCAAGAAAATCATTTGGATGTTCTCTGAGATGTGACTGTCTCCATGTGGTTCATGTCATAGCCATAGAACAGTCTACTGCAAAAATGCTGTAGTAATGGCCGGGTGTGGTGGCTCACGCCTGTAATCCCAGCACTTTGGGAGGTTGAGGCAGGCAAATCACCTGAGGTCAGGAGTTCAAGACCAGCCTGGCTAACATGGCGAAACCCCATCTGTACTAAAAGTACAAAAATTAGCCGGGCGTGATGGCAGGCACCTGTAATCCCAGCTACTCAGGAGGTGGAGGCAGGGAAAGCTTCAACCCGGGATATGAAGGTTGCAGTGAGCCGAGATTGCACCACTGCACTCCAGCCTGGGCGACAAGAGCAAGACTCAGTCTCAAAACAAAAAAAAAAAAAGTGCAGTAATAAGCTAGATGAACTTGAGGCTCAACTTCCCTGACCCATTCTAGTGAGGTCTGCTCCTCCTGAAACCCTCCCCCAAGAGAATCCTGCACTTC